CAATTTTAGAGTAGGTGTGATGTGGTGCTGAGAAGAATGTATATTCTGTGGATTTGGGGTGGAGAGTTCTATAAATGTCTATCAGGTTTGCTTGTTCCAGGTCTGAGTTCAAGTCCTGGATATCTTTGTTAATTTTCTGTCTGGTTGATCTGTGTAATATTGACAGTGGAGTGTTAAAGTCTCCCACTATTATTGTGTGGGAGTCTAAGTCTCTTTGTAAGTCATTAAGAACTTGCCTTATATATCTGGGTGCTCCTGTATTGGGCACGTATATATTTAGGATTGTTAGCTCTTTTTGTTGTATCGATCCTTTTACCATTATGTAATGACCTTCTTTGTCTCTTTTGATCTTTGTTGCTTTAAAGTCTATTTTATCAGAGACGAGAATTGCAACTCCTGCTTTTTTTTTTTTGCTCTCCATTTGCTTGGTAAATCTTCCTCCATCCCTTTATTTTGAACCGTTGTGTATCCTTGCATGTGAGATGGGTTTCCTGGATACAGCACACTGATGGGTTTTGGTTTTTTATACAATTTGCCAGTCTCTGTCTTTTGATTGGTACATTTAGCCCATTTACATTTGGGGTTAATATTGTTATGTGTGAATTTGATACTGCCGTTTTGATGCTAGCTGGCTCTTTTGCCCGTTCGTTAGTTGATGCAGATTCTTCATTTTGTTGATGCTCTTTAGCATTTGGTATGTTTTTGGAATGGCTGAGACTGACTGTTCCTTTCTATGTGTAGTGCCTCTTTCAGGAGTTCTTGTAAAGCAGGCCTGGTGGTGACAAAATCTCTGAGTACTTGCTTGTTCACAAAGGATTTTATTTTTCCTTCACTTATGAAGCTCAGTTTGGCTGGATATGAAGTTCTGGGTTGAAAGTTCTTTTCTTTAAGGATGTTGAATATTGGCCCCCACTCTCTTCTGGCTTGAGGGTTTCCTGCCGAGAGATATGCTGTGAGTCTGATGGGCTTCCCTTTGTGGGTGACCTGACCTTTCTCTCTGGCTGCCCTTAGCATTTTCTCCTTCATTTCAACCCTTGTGAATCTGACGATTATGTGCCTTGGGGTTGCTCTTCTTGAGGAATATCTTTGTGGTGTTCTTTGTATTTCCTGGATTTGAATATTAGCCTGCCTTGCTAGGTTGGGGAAATTTTCCTGGATAATATCCTGAAGAGTATTTTCCAGCTTGGATTCATTCTCTTCGTCACATTCAGGTATACCTATCAAACATAAATTAGGTCTCTTCACACAGTCCCACATTTCTTGGAGACTTTGTTCATTCCTTTTTGCACTTTTTTCTCTAATCTTGCCTTCTTGTTTTATTTCATTGAGTTGATCTTCGACCTCTGATATCCTTTCTTCAGCTTGGTCAATTCGGCTGTTGAGACTTATACATGCTTCGCAAAGTTCTTGTGTTGTGTTTTTCAGCTTCATCAATTCACTCATATTCCTCTCTAAGTTGTCCATTCTTGTTATCATTTCCTCAAATCTTTTTTCAAGGTTCTTAGTTTCTTTGCATTGAGTTAGAACATGTTCTTTTAGCTCATGGAAGTTTCTCATTACCCACCTTCTGAAGTCTGATTCTGTCATTTCATCACACTCATTCTCCATCCAGCTTTGTTCCCTTGTTGGTGAGGGGTTGTGGTCCCTTGTAGGAGGTGAGGTGTTCCAGTTTCAGGTGTTTTTCTCCTTTTTCACTGGTTTCTTCCCATCTTTGTGGATTTATCCACCTGTCGTCTGAGTAGTTGCTGACTTCCCGATTGGGTCTCCGAGTGGACGTCCAGATTGTTGATGATGAAGTATTTCTGTTTCTTAGTTTTCCTTCTAACAGTCTGGCCCCTCTGCTGTAGGACTGCTGTGGTCCACTCCAGGCCCTGCTTGCCTGGGGGAACACCTGTAGCAGCTGTGAAACAGTGAGGGTTGCTACCAGTTTCTTCTTCTGTCATCTTTGTCCCAGAATGATGCCTGCCAAATGTCAGTCTGATCAGTCCTTTGTGAGGTGACTCTTTGGATATACGGGGGTCAGGGAGCTGCTTGAGGAGACAGTCAGTACTTCATAGGAGCTCAAGTGCTGAGCTGTGAGCTCTGTTGTTCATTCAGGGTTGCTAGGCAGGTACGTTTAAGTCTGCTGCAACAGAACTCGTAAAGCTTCTTTTTTTCCTCAGGTGCTCTGTCCTGGGGAGTTAGGGCTTTATTTATGAGTATCTGTTGCACTGTCCTGCCCAGCAAGTAGGCAGTCTAGTCACTGCCTGCTTGCAGAGGCTCTGGGCTCTGCCCTGCTGCCTTAGGCTCCACCCTGCTGTCCTGTGTAATTCCCTGTGGTCCTGTTTATATGGGTGTGGTTAGAACTGCTGTGGCAATGGCAGACTCCCTCTGTTATGACAGGCTGCGTCGGCAATGGCAGAGTACCTCCGTAGGGGTGGAGTGCCTTGTTAATGGTGGATGCCCCTCCCCCACCGAGCTGCACTGTCCTGGGTTCAGCTGTGCTTGCCGTGAAACTCTCAACCCTGAGCGTTTCCAATTGCTGTTTTGTTTGTTTTTGTGGGGGGTGGGACCTGCTGAGCCTGATCACCTGGCTCCCTGCCTCAGAGCCTTTTTTTTTTAAGTTGAATGGTTGACTCTCTCCCAGGTGTTCCAGTCACCTGCTGAAAGGGCGCCGGGATCTGTGTGATTTCCTGGCAGCGACCTACTGTGCCGGCTGAAACAATGTTGCTGCCTGGGATTCTCCTGGCCTGGCTTACTGTTTAAGTCCCGTTTAATCAGATGAATGTGCTAATCTGCCTTCCCAGATCTCAAATTGCCAGTTTAACAGGGCAACCAGACCAGTGTATTTCATACAGAGTGCTGCTGCACTGCAGCACCAGCCCAAACAGCCATGCTGGCAGCCCATGGGGCTCCTACACCTGGGAATCTCCTGATCTGTGGGCAATAAAGATTAGTCTGGAAATGTGGTGTCCACTCACCCTCTGCGCTTTCACTGGGAGCTGCAATCCTGAGTTGCTCTTATAGCGCCATCTTCTTCTCTCCCCCAAACTTTTATATAGTATATATCCCTTTAGTCTTTTTAAAAGTCATGCTTTTCTAACCTGATCTAACAGTACTATTATTACTTTTGTAATATTTGACAAAATTATTTATGATAAATTCATTAAAATTTAATGTACTTTATAAACTTAAAAAACAAATATTCATAATTGTTTAGAAATACAGATATGTGGGATAAAGCAAAAGAATGACAAACATAAAATTCCTTCAGGTTTGATAGGGCAAGGACCGAAGATAAGGGAGGATATATAAGTAGATGTAGTTTATTTGTAATAATCTAGGTTTCTTTTATGCCAACAAGAATGGTATGATGAACAACACGTACCCCATCAGTGAGCTTCAACATTTATCAACATTTTGCTTTTTTTTCTAATCTATTCTCTTACCACTTTTCCCCCCGGCATATTTTATAGCAAATTCCAGAAAATGTGCCATTTCATAAATGCTTATTTATGTATCTCTAACTGATAAGGACATTTCTGTCTTTATCTAAGCACCGTGCTATTATCACAAATAACATAATTAATACTTGGTCCATAGTCACAATTTCTTGATGATCTCAAAAATGTGTTTTTACAGACATTTGTCTGTAAAATGTCCTAACTAGAATCCAAATAAAGTTTCTATGTTGTATTTGAATATTATATTCTTGTCTCTTTTATTTAAAAGTCACTTCCTTTCCTTTCCACCCCTTTCTAAGTTTTTTTTAGAGACAGGGTCTCACTGTGTTGCCCAGGTTGGAGTGCAGTGACTATTCACAGGTGTGATTATGACACACTGAAGCCTAGAACTACTGGCTTCAAGCTGTCCTCCTGCTTCAGCACCCTGCATCCTCCACTTATGTACTCCAATATTTGCACTTGGCTCTCTTCCCTTTTTCATGCCATTGGTTTGCTGGAAAAACTGTTTTATCTGTCTTAGAGAATATATCTACATTCTGGACTTCAAATTACTTCCATCTGGATATATTTAACTTGTTCCTCTATTCCTCCTGTTTTCTGTAAACTGGTAGTTATATTTCTAAGGGCAGGCTGGACTATATATTCTTTGGGGTTTGATAAGAATTAAATTCTTTGGGGCTTTTGTGTGGTTTTTGGCAAGAGTATTTTATGGATGATGCTGTGTACTTTCATATTACCTCATTAAGCACATAATGTCTGCTTATCTCACTTTTAATTATGCTAAAATTAATTAGTGGGTTCAGTGTAAGAGGTGTTGCTTAATCTGCATAGGGAGGTGCTACATTAAGAAAATGCCAGATTTAAAAAAATTAAACTTACAAAGCAATAAGAAGGAAGAAGAGGAGGGCGGATGCGGTAGCTCACACCTATAATCACAACACTTTGGGAGACTGAGGTGGGTGATCACTTGAGGTCAAGAGTTTGAGACCAGCCTGACCAACATTGTAAAACCCCATCTCTTCTAAAAATACAAAATTTTATCTGGGCATGGTGGTCCCAGCTACTCTGGAGGCTGAGGCAGGAGAATCACTTGAACCCGGGTGGTGGAGGTTGCAGTGAGCTCAGATTGTGACACTGTACTCCAGACTGGGCAATGGAGTGAGACTGTCTCAAAAAAAAAAAAAGAAAGAAAGAAAAAAAGAAGAGGCATAGAAAATATGATTCAAGGCTCTATTTCCTTATAAAATACATTGGTTTAGTTATATTCAAATTGAATCTCAATTGCTCATTATAGGCCAGTGAAACAAATCTTCACTGGCCCAAGGTGAGTACCTCCTCTCTTCCCTTTCCTCAATGATAGCACCTTTGAGATTTCAGCCTATCTTCAGCTGTATTTTTTACTACACTCTTTTTGGATCCAGGGTAGTAAATTTAGGTCGTTTATAGGTGACTTGAAGTATAACATAGAAGGAGAAACACAGTATCAAGATTTCAAAGGCCCTCCCAACTGAATTCCTATGGTAAATTTTCAGTAATAATAATTAACTTTTTAAACAGGGTTCAACTCCACCAGTAACTGTTTTCAAAGGTTCAAAAAAACCTTACTTAAAAGAATGCATTTTGATTATTAACCATGATACTGGAGAATGTCGACTAGAAAAACTCAGCAGCAACATCACTGTAAAAAAAACAAGGTATGTGGTTTAATGAAATAAATTATATTATAAACATAAACTTCTAAGGAAATGTTAAGAAAAATTGACTGTATTAAGTAACATTATTATACAAGGGGGTTATTTCTGTGTGCTACAAAAACGTTTTAATCTTTTTCTAAGTTTAAATTTGGTGGAGATTCTAAGCCAAAAGCTTTTTACCACATCATCCTGTGATATATAAAAGCTTGTTTTGCTTCTAAATGCTTTCTATAGGTATAGTTATACTTTTTATTCTGTTGTAGATACTTTCATATAACTGGATTGAAAAGAGCCATTATACATTCTCTAAAATAATTTCATCTTCATTAATAAATATTTATCAAATACCTATAATGTGTAAGGTACTAGAAAAAGGAAAGTTTGCTATGCAAACACCTCAAAACTTCTGCATTTTAATCAGATAAACAGACTATTCCATTTAAAAAGTCAATAGGAGAATATACTCATCTCAAATCCTTTTTGGAAATAGGTAACACATTACTTGCCATGTAATATAATGATATTTGCTCTAAAAGCCATGCAAATAGTATAGACAAAAGTTGCTCTAGGAATTAAGAAAAAGGAGAAGTAATGGTAGATTGGAACATTCAGGGAGACATTTTTGATGTACCTTAAGAGGAGGTTGGGATCGTAAGAATTACCTTGGGTGCTTGTTAAAAATTAATTCCCAAATCTAACCTTAAGTCAGGGAAGGATCCTGGGAAACTCTATTTTTTAATATCTCCTCACCTTTACCACTCATGCCCTGCTGTGATTCATACTAGAAGAAGGTTTGTGAAATTCCAGCTTAATTGAGTAGAAAGGAGAAGACGATGTAAGCCAAGTTTGAAGGCAGAAATATATCTGACTTATTCAGGGCCAGTAAGACCTATTTGAACAGAGCAGAGGTTTATCTCTGTACCTGTGTACATGTTTTAGAAAGTAGGGGGCGATGTTGATATTGGGCTAGAGGTAAGGTTGTAACTTTGTTGGTTGAGGTTAATGCCATCAATATTAACTAAGAAATTAGGACATTATCTTGCTGGTAGTGGTTACATATTAAAGTCTTTTTAACCAGGGATTGGCATGTTTACAGTTTGTTTTAAAACGTTAATTCAGTAGAGAAACTGAATAAATGACAACAATGTAGGAATCAGAAAAACGTATAAACCAGGAGTTTTGAGAGCAGGAATGAAGAAAAAATGAGGGTCTGAAGATTGTTTGTAGGAAGAACTGATAGGATTTGGTGACTGGAAATGGGAGAGGCAAAAATCAAGCATACTTTTGTTATATACTCTTCTTAAAGATGTTGAGAGAAATGTATATGAATCTCCTTTATTATGTCTATCTTAAGTTATGAATGGAAAATGTAGAAGTGATTTAGTTTTAACAGAAATAATAATCTTAGAACTTAGGGAATATATTGTACCTGTTATACACTTGTGTTTTTCCTTTTATTTTAGTCATTTGTGAATGCCTTATCTGTTCAATTTAAGCAATGGCTTTATTCTTTAGTTGTTGTTTTATTTATTTTTAAATAGAGATAGGGTCTTGCTATATTGCCCAGGCTGGTCATGAACTCCTGACCTCAGGCCATTCTCCTTTCTCGGCCTCCCAAAGTGCTGGGATTACAGGCGTGAGCCACTGTACCAGCCTGGATTTTTGTTTTTGTTTTTTGAGACAGGTCTCACTCTGTCACCCAGGCTGGAGTACAGTGGTGTAATTATAGCTTATTACAGCTTCAAACTGCTGGGCTCAAATGATCCTCCCACAGCCTCCTAAGTAGCTGGGATTACAGGAATGCATCATTATGCCCAGCCAATATTTTTATTTTACTTTATTTTTTGTATTGACAGGGTCTCACTGTATTGACCAGGCTGGTCTTGAATTCCTTGGGTCAAGTAATCCTCCTACTTCAGCCTTCCAACATGCTGGGATTACAGGCATGAGCCACCAAGCCTGGCACGGGTTTTGTTTTTGTTCTCATTTGTATCCCTCAATGGACATGTGTATCACAGAAACAGAACCTGACAAATACTTGTTAAATGATGAACTAAATTAATGTTTTAATTTTGGATATTATTCTAAAGATGTTTAGGAAAAGAATAAGTGGTTGATTTTAGTAACTTTGTAAGTTGAAATTTTTGTTACATTGCTGTCATACCTGTTTTAATATTTCATATTCTTAATTGCAGAGTTGAAGGAAGCAGTAAAATTCAGTATCGCAAAGAACAGCAACAACAAATGTGGAATTCAGCCAGGACTCCCAATCTTGTAAAACATTCTCCGTCTGAAGATAAGATGTCCCCAGCATCTCCAATAGATGATATTGAAAGAGGTAAAATCTAAGTATATGAGACAACACTTATAAGAGATAATTAAGAAATGTTAAGGCCAGGCACGGTGGCTCACACCTGTAATCCCAGCACTTTGGGAGTCCAAGGCAGGCGGATCATGAGGTCAGGAGTTCAAGACCAGCCTAGCCAATATTGTGAAACTTTGTCTCTGCTAAAAATACAAAAATTAGCTGGGCATGGTGGTGCATGCTTGTAGTCCCAGCTACTTGGGAGGCTGAAGAAGAAGAATCACTTGAACCCAGGAGGCAGAAGTTGCAGTGAGCTGAGATCGCACCACTGCACTCCAGCAAGGGTAACAGAGTAAGACACCAACTCAAAAAAAGAAAAGAAATCTTAAGTGAATTTTTAAATTTTAATTAACAATGGTATTAATTATAAACTTTTACTGAGAGTATAATATTTTTTGTAATTATGCATTTTTCTGGCGTAAGGATATAGCTTATGATTTTTAGTTTTATGTAAACAATATCCATATAAGATAATTTGTATCATTGAAAATGACTATTCAGGGTAAAAAAATGACTGTTTAGATGTTTATAACTGGAGTTTTCTTCTTTTTGGCAATTGTAATGACTCAAATTCAATTCCTCACAGCATCTTCCTGTCAAAACTTTTTACGTATGGCCAGACTGTAGATGTCTAAGATGTCATCAATTCCACAGGGAAATAAGGAGATGTAGTAAGCAGAATATGCAGGCAACTTTTTCTGAATTGCTACTTACTTCTCAGCAGGGAGGTATTTTTAGGGAGGTACAGTCCTTTTGAAAATAAGAAAACTTAAATATCCATTTTTTTCTAGTTGCAGTGTGGATATTAATGTTGTAGTAATTGTGGCTGCAGTGAGACCCTGTTCACTAAAGTATATTTGCTTCTTTGCTTTGCCTTCTTAAAATTTGCACATAGCTGTCCAATTTCATTGTTCCTTTCTAAGCCCAAAGCCCAGTATAATATTCATTCTCTAATGGATTAGTAGCTCCTATGCATATAATAAGAAAGACATGTCCAGAACCCTTGGCAGTACAAGGGGTCTTAAATGTTATTTTTTTTACATCATGCCTGCCTTCAAATGGATTTAAATCATGATATCTTTACATAAATGAATACAAAATATTGGTACAGAAAATTAAGATTTTAAAGGGGAAGAGGAAGCAAATTTGCTAATCATTAACACATTAAATTGCCAGGTGTGGCGCTGCACACCTATAATCCCAGCACTTTGGGAGGACAAGGTGGTGGATCACTTGAATTCAGGAGTTTGAGACCAGCCTGGGCAACATGGTAAAAACCCATCTCTACAAAAAATACAAAATTAGCCAGGTGTAGTGGTGCATGCCTGTAGTCCCAGCTACTTGGGAGGCCAAGGTGGGAGGATCACTTGAGCATGGGGAAGTCAAGCCTGCAGTGAGTCTTGATTGTGCCACTGCCCTCCAGCCTGGATGACAGAGTGAGACCCTGTCTCAAAAAAAAAAATTAAAAAAAAAATTTTTTCATTTAGCTCTGAGCTTCTAGCCACCAAGACAAAAAAAAAAAAAAAAAAAAAGGGAGACACAAGCAACATATGTTGTACTATCTGGTAGGTTACAAAGAATCGGACTTTTCCCTGTTACTAAATTCTGAAAGGAATTCATCATATGGAACCTTTCTTTGGGGAGCATTAAACTTTGTATAGTGTCCTCAACAATAATTTTACAGTACAAGTAGAAGTTCTTCTATGTGGCAGTTTTTAATAGAGACCTTGATAAAAGCATTGCATTGAAGCATAACTAAGAGAAAAGAAAGTTGTAGAGGAGGCAAGGCACCAGTGGCTCATGCCTATAATTCTAGCACTTTGCGGGTGCCAAGGTGGGAGGATCATTTGAGCCTAGGAGTTCAAGAACAGCCTAGGCAACATGGCGAAACCTCATCTCAATTTTAAAAATTGCAAAAATTAAAAATTAAAAAAATAGAAAGTTGTAGGGGATAAGTTAACATGATCTCCAAGCATAAAGCTTTCTATTTCTTAGTATGATAATTGAACTTCATTTACCTTGAGATATTTGTATAACATGTTCCATAGATTACATTCTATAAAATACTTCCTTTACCCTACTGTGCCACTGACTACTGTTATAATGGTTGAAGTATCTTTTCAAGTTTATGTCTGGCAGTTGTACTAGTATTTTTGTTGCTTTATATTTATATTTATATCTTTGAACTATCTAGAATTGAATTTAGGAGATAAGAAAGAGGCCAGGTGCAGTGTGGCTCATGCGTGTAATCCCAGCACTTTGGGAGGCTGAGGTGGAAGGATCATTTGAGGAGTTTAAGATAGCAAGACCCCATTTATACAGAAAAAAAAATTTTTTTTAAGAAATAAGATGGATCTAGAATTCCACTCCCCTACCTGGAGACAACTCACAGCTGGGAATGCCAGCAAATAGGACGATACCACAATAAGTGGTTGCAGTCCTTGAAGTATTCTCCCTGTATGCCTGGCCTGAGACTCCCCTCCTCCATCAGAGACACTGTATGGCCAGAAGGTCTCTGCAAGTAGAATTCCATTATGATAAGCATTCAGCCTGGGAAGGCTATTCATACCACTCTAGAACTGCCCCCTTGCCCTATTAACTTAAGATTCTTCTCTCTCTAAAGACATCTTGAGACTGGATGGCACCAATAAAGGGGAATTCTGCCACAACAAACACTTTGCTAGGAAGCACTTTCCTTTCCTCCACCTCTCCAAGCAGGGGAGCCAATAACAAAAAAATTGCCTGGCTCAGGGAACACTCTTCATCCCAGGCAAGAGACCCCCTTTCCCCATCTATACACACCACATTTTCTTTCCTGGTGAAGTCACTTCTTCCTTTACATAGCATCAGCAGGGATCATTGGGGATGCCAGCTGCTAGAGATTTACTTAAGAAGACCAAGACAATACTGCAAAAGCTTTGAAAACATGATCGTCATTTAAACCACAACCTACAACTTTAGGCAAGAATATGCATGCTAAAGCAAAACAGAGTGATTGCCTACTAAAATTAAAAATTTGAATAACATATAGATCTCCCATAGCATAAAAACCAAGATATCCAAGATACAATAGAAAATTTCCTGTTGTGGCCGGGTTCAGTGGCTCACATCTGTAATCCCAGCACTTTGGGAGGCCAAGGTGAGCAGATCAATTGAGGTAGGAGTTTGAGACCATCCTGGCCAACATGGTGAAAGCCCATCTCTCTAAAATATAAAAATTAGCCTAGTGTGGTGGTGAGTACCTGTAATTCCAGCTACTCAGGAGGCTGAGGCAAGAGAATCGCTTGAACCCAGGAGGTGGAGGTTGCAGTGAGCCAAGATCATGCCAGGGCACTCCAGCTTGGGCAACAGAGCAAGACTCCATCTCAGAAAAATAAGGAAACAAAAGAAAATGACCTGTTGTACCGTAATTTATGATTCAGGAGAATCACATGAATGAGAAAAGATAATCAACTGATACCAACACCAAGATGAATCAAATGTTAGAATTATCTGACAATGATCTTTAAATTACTATCACGAATATGGTTTAGTTATAAATTCCCTTGAAATAAATGAGAAAAAAAGAACATAGAAAATCACATTAGAGAAACAGATGTTTTAAGTATGAATCAAATAGAAATTATAGAACTGATAAATAGAATAACAACAAAAGTACTCACTGGATAGGCTCATTGCTAGGGTATGGATAGAATCAGTTTACTTGAGGATGTATATTATCCCCTCAACCTGAAAATAGAAAGTAGACTGAAACAAGATGAGCATTTCCCCAAGAATCTGTGGAAGAATGACAAAATATCCAATATTTGTGTCATTGGAGTCTCAAAGAAGAGGGAGAGGAGGGTTAAAAGAGCATTTAAAGAAATATACACAAAAACTTCCCAAGTTTTATGAAAAACATAAACCCACGGATGTGAAAACCTGAACAAACCCCAAATAGGATAAACCCTGAGAAACCAAGGTACATCCTAATGAAACATCTGAAAACTAAAGGCCAAGAGAAAAGTGTTGAAATCAAGAAAGAAATGACATACTACCTGTGAAGGAATACCATTCAGTTAACATCAGATTTATCATCTGAAGCCATGGAGACCAGAAGAAAGTGGCATAATATTTTTCAAGTGCTGAAAGAAATGAAAATGTTAAGTGTGAATTCTGTATCTACCAAAATGATTCTTCAGTAATGAGGGGCAAATAGCCTGTTTCAGAAAGGAAAACTGAAAGAATTTATTCCTAGGAAACTATCCTTAATTATTGGATGTTTAAAGTCATTCAGACAGAAGAGAAACGTTAAATGAAGGAATCTTAGAATATCAGGAAGAGAGAAACAACAGAAAGAGCAAATATATCAATAAGTACAATTGATTATGATTTTCTTCATGACTTTTCTAAATCATATGTGATAACTGAAACAAAAATGATAATACCTTCTGATACCCAAAATAATATTTCAAAGTGGACCTACATGGATATGAGGTTTACTTGAAATGGTAATGCATTGACAAGTCAGGCATATATATTGAAAAACCCAAAGCAACCGCTAAGAAAAATATACAAAATGATACATTTTAAAACTCTAAGTTAATTGAGATAGCATTCTAAAATGGTTCAAGTAACCCACAGAAAGGCAAGACGAGAGACACAGAGAAATGAAATACAGAGGAAGCAAACAGAAAACAAATAACAAATTGACACACTTAAGCCCTAACATACTGATATAAGTAATTATATCAATAATTACTTTAAAATATGTTGTCTAAATAAGCCAGTTAAAAGGCAAATATTGGCAGACTGTATAAAAAGCACACTCAATTATATGCTGTTTATAAGACACTAATGAAATATGTAGCTTGAAAGTAAAAGTACAGAAAATATATACCATGTAAACATTAATTTTAAAAAGCACATGTGGCTGTATTCATACCAGATAAATTGACTTAAGAGCAAAATAGGCCAGGCACAGTGTCTCACACATGTAATCCCAGCACTTCAGGAGGCCGAGACAGGCAGATTACCTAAGGTCTGGAGTTTGTGACCAGCCTGGACAACATGGTGAAACCCTGTCTCTATCAAAAATACAAAAATTAGCCAGGTGTGGTGGGGCGTACCTATAATCCCAGCTACTCAGGAGGCTGAGGCAGGAGAATCTCTTGATCCTGGGAGGCGGAGGTTGCAGTGAGCTGAGATCGTGCCACTGAACTCCAGTGTGGGTGACAGAGTAAGACTCTGTCTAACAAAGAAAAAAGCACAAAATAAATTACTACAAAGAGGTACATTAATAATGATTAAAGGGGCCAGGTGTGGTGGCTCACGCCTGTAATCCCACACTTTGGGAAGCCAAGGCAGGTGGATCACGAGGGCAAGAGATGGAGACCATCCTGCCCAACATGGTGAAACCCCGTCTTTACTAAAAATGCAAAAATTAGCTGGGCGTGTGGTATGTCCCTGTAGACCCAGCTACTCAGGAGGTTGAAGCAGGAAAATTGCTTGAACCCAGGAGGTGGAGATTGCAGTGAGCTGAGATTGCGCCACTGCACTCCAGCCTGGCAACAGAATGAGACTCAGTCTCTAATAATAATAATAATAATGATTAAAGGATTAATTTACCAGAAAGGCATAAATATGTATATATCTATCAACTGAACTGAGAAAAACATGAAGTAAAAACTGATAGAACTGAAAAGAGAAATCTGCAAATCCACAATTATGCCTGGGCATTTCAACACTCTGCTCTCGGCAACTAATAGAACTATTAGACAGAAAATCAACAAAGATATGGGAAATCTGAGCAACGTAATCAACCATCAGGATGTAATTGACAGCAGAATGCATATTTTGTTTCAAGTGCCCATGGAATATTTACTAAGACCATATCCTGGGCCATAAAACAAATCTCAATAAATTTATAGAAACTGAAGTCATACAGACTATTTATCTGACCAAAATGAATTCAAACTAAAAATCAGTAACAGACAACAGGAAAAATCTCTAAACACTTGAAAATTAAACAACACATTTCTAAAGCATCCATAGGTTAAAGAAGAATCATCAAAGGCAATTAAAATACATGCAACTAAATGTATTAAACACAACATGCCAAAATATGTGGAATGCAACTAAAGAAGTTCTGAGAGGGAAATTTATGGTACTAAATTCTTACCTGAGAAGTGAGGAAAGTTATCATATCAATTAATTTTAGGAAACTGGAAAAAGAAAAGCAGATTAAACCCAAAGCAAGCAAAAAGAGGCAAATAATGAACATAAGAAGGGGCATCAATTAAATTGAAAACAATAGAGTAAATTAATGAAACAAAAAGGCAGCCATCAGAAAAAAAGCTGTTGATAAAATTCTAGTAAGATTGATAAAAATGAAAAGATAGAAGGCACAAATTACTAATATCAGGAATGTAAAGTACAAGTTCTATCTATAATCAGGAAAGTAATTAATTTACTACAGATCCAGTTGCCATTAAATATATTATAAAGAAATGGTAAGCTGGTTGTGGTGGTTCACTCCTATAATCCCAACACTTTGGGAGGCCAAAGCAAGAGGATTGTTTGAGCCCAGGAATTTGAGACCAGCCTAGGCAACACAGTGAGACTCTGTCTATACAAAAAAGAAAAAAATTTTTTTTAGATTACTCAGGTGTGGTGGTGTGCACCTGAGTAGTCACAGCTACTCAGGAGGCTGAAACAGGAATTCTTGAACCCAGGAGGCGGAGGTTGCAGTGAGCCATGATTGTGTCACTGCATTCCAGCCTGGGTGACAGAGCAAGACCCTATCTAAAAAGAAAAGAAATATTATTTTTTTTTGCTCATAAATTTGACAATTTAGGGGAAATGGACTTGTTTTTCAAAAGCTAAAAACTGCCAGAACTGAACCAAGGTGAAGTAAGCAACCTGAATAGTTCTATCAACATTAAGTAAATTAAATTAGTAATTTAAAAGCACCCCAAAAAGAAATAACCAGATCTCTGAAAGTCTACCAAACATTTAAAGAGAATTAACACCGACATTACATAATCTCTTCTGGAAAATGGAAAAGGAAGGACTATTTCTAAGCTATTTACAAGGCCAATATTACCCCTAATACCAGATAAAGACAGTACAAGAAAAGGAAAACTATGAACTAGTATCTTTTTTTTTTTTGAGATGGAGTCTTGCTACCCAGGCTGGAATGCAATGGCAGATCTCCATTCACTGCAACCTTCACCTCCCGGGTTCAAGTGATTCTCCTGCCTCAGCCTCCCGCTGGGACTACAGGTGCATGCCACCATGCCCAGCTAATTTTTGTATTTTTAGTAGAGAGAGGGTTTCACCATGTTAGTCAGGATGGTCTGGAACTCCTGACCTCAGGCGATCCGCCCGCCTTGGCCTCCGAAAGTGCTGGGATTACAGGCGTGAGCCACCACGCCTGGCCTGAACTAGTATCATTTATGAACTTAAACTCAAAAATTGTCAATTAAATATTGGCATATTGAATCCAACATTGTATAAAAATAATTATACAACATGAACAAGACAACATTCCTATTCTCACATTATATTTGGGAGTATGGATGAGGGTGAGAGGGAGGGTGGGGAAGATACAAGCAGTAAACAAATAAACATCCAAATGAATTTCAGAAATAAGTATCTTGAAGATAATTAAACAAGGCAATGGGGGTTGCAGAATGGAGAAGAAGGAAACTTTTGAAAAGGTTACATTTAAACTTATTCAAGAAGGAGCCAGACTTTCAGAGATCTAGAATCTCCTCAAGAGACACCATAGTGAAATGAAAAGCCTAGCTACAGACTTGGGGGAACCTGGAAGAAATATTCACAAATGCATATGTCTAACAAAGGGCTCATAGCCAGAAGAATTAGCTATAAAGAATTCTTTCAAATGAGTAAGAAAAAGACAATCAAATATAAAAATGGATAAAAGACTTGAACAGGCTTTACATAAAAGATGATATTCAAATGGCCAGTAAGCATATGAGAAAAACAGTGCTTCATATCGTCACATCAGAGAAATTAAAACTACAGGAAGATACCATTGTACACCCATCAGACTCACTATACCAAGTGTGTGTGTGTGTCCTAGTGAGGGAAGATATGCAGCATCTGTGACTCAAACATTGCTGGTTGGAGTGTAAAACCAGTTTGAAAACCAGGATTTCTTTAATGAAATTAAGCCTATGCCTGTTATGATTTGAAAATTTCTCTCCTAACTTTCTACCTAAGAGAAATGTGTATATAAGTTCAAAAAGACTTGTAGAGGGATTTTCATAACAACTTTCTTCATAGTATCCAAAACTGAAAACAACCCAAATATCCATAAATAGAAAATGGATGACTAACTTGTGGTATATTTATATAATATAATATCATAACAGTAGATAAGAATAGACTGCAGATTAATTCAGTAACATGAATAAATATAAAAAACATTATGTTGAAAGAAGGCAGACCAAAAAGTACATGCTGAGTGAACCTACTTATGGAAGTTCAAGAATAGATAAAAACTTTGGTAATAGAAGTCAAAATGGTGAGTAGTGACTAGAAAAGAGCACAGGAGAATATTCATGGGGATGGAAATAGTCTATATCTTGATCTCAGTGGTAGATATATAAGTTTTATATATCGTAAAATTTAGCTATACATTTTACTTTATGGAAATTATGTATTAAACAAATAAACCAAAGATCTGGGTAAAGAATATACCAGGCAGAGGAAATAGCTAGTACAAAGAACATAGGATGGAAATGAATTTAATGTGGTCAAATAATAGAAAGAAAGCCAGTCTATCTATAATAGGGAGAATAGGGCTAAAAATTATCAGTTAACTTAATGTAGCAGAATACTAAGATGATATCAAATGGCATACTAAGATGATATCAAATGGCAGTGTATTAACTGAGTGTATTATTTACCTAGAATTTTTAGTTTAAAAATTTTGTTCAACTATCTGACATTTGTATCATATAGGAAAATATTGACTTGAAAGTCAGGAGACTTGGTTCCATCCACAAATATCTGACAACTTTTGGCTTTTCTGGACCTTCATTCCCTTATTTATAAAATTATGAAGCTGTTCTAAATGGTAGCTGAAGACCTTCCCAACTATAATTTTTTGCATGTCTTAAAAATAACTTGAAAAACACCAAGCAAAAGAATACATCATTATTATTCTTTTATCTATAGAAATATTTATAGCCAAAGTTATGATGAGAACTGGCTTTTCAAAAATACTTAGAATATTTTAAATCCTCATTAAGGGATCAGGGGAGAAACTTATAGATACTTCATCAAAATGTTCTCTAGGAAAACCAAGAAAAAAGAATGAAGTTCATCTGTTACATTATCATGTTACATTACATGTATTTAAAGGAATAAAAAATAATTAGAAGACAGTTTCTACCAAAATAGATTTTAATTTTTATAGTTTTTCACAATATTTACTTTGTATTTGAGTTGCCTGTATATGTAAGTACAATGGTTTAAATAAATGTGAAGTTTAGATTTAGATCTTGTCTATCTATCTCTTTTAGTTTCTGTAATCCAGTCATTGAAGTATGGCTTGATGGTAGAAGAGTTTTGTTTTTTTAATAAAATGCTTTAAGTACTATAAATGTAGGTTTGATTTCAGTTATTCATCATCAATAGTTTCTTAAAAACTAATACATTCAATTTTTATTATATTTATTAACATTTTTTATTTAACCTATCTGTTCATTTCTGTCTTATTTTCAGAACTGAAGGCAGAAGCTAGTCTAATGGACCAGATGAGTAGTTGTGATAGTTCATCAGATTCCAAAAGTTCACCATCTTCAAGTAGTGAGGATAGTTCTAGTGACTCAGAAGATGAAGAATGCAAATCCTCTACTTCTGACACAGAGAATTGTGTCTCAGGACATCCTACCATGACACATTACAGGATTCCTGATATAGATGCCAGTCATAATAGATTTCAAGACAATAGTGGCCTTCTGATGAATACTTTAAGTAAGTATATATAAACACACGCAACTGGAAAAGTAAGAATTTATAGTGGAGCCATATTGATTGTGACCTAAAATTTGGATAAAGAAAAAGATTCCTATTTTATGCATTTGATACTATTAGCAATTACCTTTTTATTAAATTATGGTTTTCTTTTGACTCTGTGACATGATGCCTTCTTGGTTTTTCTCCTATCTCTCTAGATAATCTTTTCTCTCATTCCTTTGCAAGTTTATAACCTTCTGCTCAGTCATTAAAGTTGGAATTTCACAAGGCTTTCTTTTGAGTTATCTTTTTCTCTTTGTTCTACACTTTTTCCTTAGATAATCTCCTCCATGTTTTTATTGCAGTCAATACTTATGTATAGATAACTTGCACATTTTTATCTCTGATTCAGACCTCTAGGCTTTAGACACATGTTTAACACCATCTCCCATCATCTCATCTCCTTCAAATTTACTTTGTCTAAAACCAACTCATAATCAATCTTTGGCTGACTCTGTTACCTCTTAGTGAAGGTAGCATACATTATACCTTAAAAACTACAGAGAAGAAGACAAACTACAAAAGAAGAATAGGCTGACAGCAGATACTCTTAGCTAGATAGTTAAGCCAAAAGATAATGGGGAGAATATCTTTAAAGTATTGAAGGAAAGTAATTCTAGCTAGAATTGTATGCCCAAACAAAGTGTCTTTCATGAGTAAAATAATTTTCAGGAACATGAAAACAGCTTATTGTCTATAGAATTTAGCAAATGTATTCACAGATATATATATATATATATTATATTTATCTATAATAAAATTTATATATATTATAAAATATATATAATAAATATATATGTATATGTATTTCAGCAGAAAGAAAAGTGAAAACAGAGGGAAAGTGTGGAATATGAGAAACATTAGTGAGCAAAGAAATAGATGAAATGTCAGGAAATTTGATTACCCTTTGACTATAATGATAACAAGTATGTTTTAGATGTTTGTACATTTAGAAGTTTTTTTAAAGATTAAAGCTAAAACTCTAAACAATAGTTGCTGAGTATTCAATCAGTAATTTAAGTAAGTTAAGATCCATCTCATGTTGGGAGGATAGAAACACTGAATAGTTGACTTTATTAGATAAATTTATAGTTAATTATGTATTCTAAAACATGTCAGCTTTTTAAATTGTGGATTAGTTAAAAAATACAGGAATTTTTTAACCATTATAATTTACTACCTACATGTTTTCATTCAGTCCCTTAGCTTCAGAAAAACCTGTATGATCAGTGACTCTCAAATCTTTATTTCCAGCTCCAGTCTCTACCTTTAGCTCCAGACTTGTATATTCAACTCCCGGTACATATGTACTTGGGTAGTTACTAGGTATCTTAAATTTACCACATGAAAATTGAACTTGTGATTTTCTTCTACAACCATGGTCCCCTGGTGTTGCTCATCTTACTAAATGATAGCTCAGTGAATGATTTATCCAGTTGTTCAAGCAGAAACCTTGGGGCCATTCTTCACTTCTTTCTCTGGTACCCTAAATTCAATGTTTTAATTAGTCCTATAAACTCTATCTTCAAAGTATATTATGAATCTGACTACTTAGCATCACCTCCCCTGTACTACTTGAGTCAAAGCAAACCTTATTTCTTACATGAGAGACTGCATTAGACTTACAACTGCTCTCTTGTTTCTGTGTTACTTTCATACCCTGGTGGAATTTACTGATCTACAACCAGTTTTAAGTTAGTTGCCTGCTTAAAATTTTCTCATGAATTCTCATTACATTTTCAAGCGAATCTAAAGTTTTTACTGTGACCTTCTGGGTATCTTTCTGACTCATTTACTACCATTATCTTCCTTATAAATGCCATTCCAGCTACATGGCCTTCTTGCAAGTCAGAGAATGCAACAAGTATGTTCTTCCCTTGGGGCATTTGCACTTCTGTTCTTTTAGCCTGGTCACTTCACCTCCACTCCCTCTGTTTTTTATTACTTTCTTCCTATATTTGGATCTCTGTTCAAAAGTAACCCCTCAAAAAGGCCTTCAAAACTACCCTATCTAAAAACAGCACCTGCCATCACTGTCTCCCTATCCATTTTCATTTTTTCATAGCACTTACCCTTACTTGGCATTATGTTATATATGTTTATTTGTTTACTGTCTGTCTCCCCCACTGAACTGTAAACTCCATGACTGTAAGTACATAGATGAATTACAAAAGGAATAAATGGTGAGTTATACTTTTTTCTTTTTTTTTAAATAGAGATGGGGTTTCACCATGTTGGCCAGGCTAGTCTTGAACTCCTGACCTCAGGTGATCCTCCCGCCTCGACCTCGCAAAGAGCTGGGATAACAGGCATGAGCCACCACAGCCAGCAATGAGTTATTCTTGACATGTATTATTTAATTATTTTGACTCTATTTTAAGTAAAAAAAAAATAACTTTTTTCACTCTTTAAAATGATATAGTCTGATCTTCTAAACAAGATTTTTCTCATTTCCTGATTTAATTAAATCAGTGATGTGAAAAAAAAGAGTGATGGTGGTATGTAAAAAAGACTAAAATAGATGACCAGGAAATACTAAAACTGTGCTGAAGTTTGATGGTATATTTTTTCTTTACACACAATATTAATTATTTGAGTAACTAATTGTGTCACTGAATTACAGAATAAGCAAAGTGCTAGCTAAACAGAATCAGGCTTGGGAGCTATATTTTGTGTAAAATTTGTTATGCAAACAAATATTAAATATTTAATTACTACGGTTTTGTTATTTCTTTTTTATTTTAGGAAATGATTTGCAGCTGAGTGAATCAGGAAGTGACAGTGATGACTGAAGAAATATTTAGCCATAAATAAAAATTTACACAGCAGGTATAATTTATTTTGTATTAAGAATAAAAATTCCTAAGACTGAGGGAAATATGTCTTAACTTTTGATGAGAAAAGAAATTAAATTTGATTCAGAAATGTCAGTTGATGTTATTATTTATTTGTTTATTAGACATTGTCTTGCTTTGTCACCTAGACTGGAGTAGAGCTGGGGGCTCCTACCTCAGCTTCCCATGGGTGAGACTGTAGGCATGCACCACCATGCCAAGGTAATTATCTGGGGGGAGAGGAGTAGAGATGGGGTCTTGACGTGTTGCCCAGGCTGGTCTCAAGGTCCTGGTGTCAAGCAGTCTTCCTGGCTTGGCTTCCCAAAGTGCCAGGATTATAGGTTTGAGCCACTGAGCTTAGTCTGATGTTATATTTTTAACCTCTTGCAGGTTAGGTAACTTGTTCCACATAGTATTAGTTAAGTGGCAGATCAGGTGTTTTAGAGTCTAAGTTCAGTGTTCTGTTTTACCAAATTGCTGTCTCCAGTTGTCAAATAGCAAAACTATTGATTTCTAATAAATGTCCATGGTTTTATGGTTTTAATTTTATAATTTTATATCTCCAAGCTTTTTTTTTTTGAGATAAGGTCTTACTCTGTTGCTCAAACTGAAGTACAGTGGTGTGATCATAGCTCAGTGCAGCCTCAAGCTCCTTGGTCTCAAGTGATCCTCCTGGCTCCGGAGTGGCTATGGCTAGGCACCCCACCATGCCCAGCTAATTTCATTTTTTTTACTTTTTATTTTTTTTAGTAGAGACAGGACAGGGTCGTAAAGCTTTCATCTCAGCCTTCATGTCTGAGCCTTTTCTATCTGATATTCCTTAAATTATGGCTCAAAATAATTTTTGATAAAATTAAGCTATAATTTAGGAGACATATTAAGTTAAATAATTATATAATGTAACAACTGTTCTGTTATCTCTTGCAATATTTTTCATCAGTTTATTTTGCTTTTGAGAGAAATAAGCAATTAAGGGTTAAGGGGATAAATAATATTTATATTTATAATAAAATATCTTTTAATTCGCAGAATGATAGATGTAGGAATGATAGAAAGCCACTGACCAGTAGGTTCTTTTTTTTCTTTTGAGGCTCCATTGTTAGAACATTTCTTTATATATATATAAAGCCTTATATATCTATATTTATATATTATACATATAACTTTATATACATATTTATATATATCATATATATTTATATATTTTTATTTTTATGTCTCTATAAAATATAAAGTAATTATATATATAAACTGGTATAAAATATAATTTTACATATATAAAACTTTATGTTTTACAGCAGTTTTAGGTTCATAGCAAACTTGAGAAGTTCCTATTTCTTCTCTCCCCATTATCAATATCCCACACCAGAGTGGCATGTTTGTTAAAATAGATGGACCTACATTGATAGATCATTATTACACAAAGCCCATAGTTTACATTAGGATTCAGTCTTGATGTACATTCTATGGATTTTTGACAAATGTGTAATAATATGTATCTATATTTTAGTAACATTTAGAATAGTATCACTACCCTAAAAATCCTGTGCTCTATTTATCCCTCCCTTTCCTCTTCCCCCCAGCAATTACTAATCTTATTGTCCCCATAGTTTATTTTCCAGAATGTGATGTAGTTGGAATTATACAGAATATAGCCTTTTCAGGTTAGTTTCTTTCACTTAATAATATGCATTTAGGTTTCATGCATATTTCATTATGTCTTCATGGTTTGATAGCTCATTTTTTTAAAGGTTGAATACTATTCTATTGTTTGAATGTACTACAGTTTATTTATCAACGCAACTACTGAAGGACATCTTGATTGCTCCCAAGTTTCATCAATTATGAAAAATTTTTAAATTCAACTTCACTTTCTTACCTTTGGAATTTTTTTTTAATTTATAAATTTTTATTTTAATCTTGCTTTTTCCTTTTCTCTTTCTAGCCTAATTTTAGTTAAACTGTCTTTACTTTTATTTCTATTTTATTTATCAATTCTTAGCTAAGACAACTATGTTATTTATTACTTAACTAAAGCAAGCTCATAATTCAAAGTGGCTAGTGAAACATGCTTATCATTTAATATAGTAATCATAATGGTTTTTACTGAAAGTTGTTATGCTGACTTTTCTTTTTGTTGTTAACACTACCAGAAATGAGTACATGATGATATGAGCTGATAAAGCTGGCTATATAACATGCATTATGTTTTCAAAATTACAGCAAGCTAAACAATATATATTCAGTACATCATTCCCCCTCCTTATTATTTCCCTCATAAGTGAAACATTCTTAAAGACCCTTTTTAATAGATTGAATACCTAGTATATCATTCTTTATACCACTCAAGGGTATATATAAGTACCTCAGAGAGAGGAATGAAATCCTATCTCCTGTGTTTTTGTATCTTCTTATTTGATGTGTTTTCAGATACGAAAATGTAGGGAGCTAGTCAGTTAGATAAGTTATCAGATAAAAGGTTCTCCGCCAGAAACAACTGATGATCCTGACATGATTCTAAACATATGTGCTTTTAATTTGATCTGGCCTGAAACTGATGGTAATGTAAGCATGCAAGCAGAAAAAGTAAGTTGCCTACAGAACAAAAATCAAAGGACTCTGAATTATTCTATAACACTAAACTCTAAAGGTAATAAAGCTGCATCTGTGCAAGCATATTAATGTGACCTATGAATTGTATATTCATCAGATGTCATCCATAGCTTGTTAAGAAGGTATTCTTAGACATATGATAATTCAGGAATTCTATCATTCAATTATCATTTCTATAATAATTGTTTTAGTAATTTCTAATTTATCAAGAGATGAATCAAAAGAGCTCAAGAATAAACAAAAGTGTAATAAAAATATATTATAAAAAGATTGATAACTATCTAATATTTTCAGGACTGGCACCTTCTCTGTCTCCTAAAGGAAACTCACTCAATTTGAAGGTGTTGTTGACACTCATGCCCAGAACATTTTAAGTAAAAGTGACTTCTGGGATGCTGACTAGGGAGGGAAGGCCAAGAGCTTATTGGCCCTACTACCCTGAAGCTGCAATCCTAGTTGGGGGAATCATGTTTCAGGCTGACACTGGGTACATGTGCAACAGAAACCAGAGATGGCCCAAGCTATTCACACACTCCTGACCAACCCTGAGGCATGTGCATAGTATATTCAAAAGGGCCTGGTGAAAAATAAAACTTGGGAAGACTCGAAAATAACATGTTCTTTGAATGTATTCCCTTACACATACAGATCTGTTAGCAAAGGACAAAGTCTTGTTGGCCCAAAGTCTTTGGAAACAGTATCTTTCCAGTCTTTGGCCACTCAGAGTACCACTTTGTAGAACAGTGACCTTGAGGGAGGAGGGTTTGACTGGGAGGCTGAAGGGAGGCAGTGGTATTACCGCTAAAGGACTTTTGGCATTGAGATGCTAGAAATTGTTTTTAACCTTATCTGGGTAGTGCTTGTGTAAGTTACACACATACAAAATTTAACAGAGCCGTACACTTAAGATTTGTTCATTTTACTTCGTTACATTTAATTTTAAAAGTCCATAAATAAAATAAAATGGAAAAATATTGCAATTTTTTAGGATGGCAGAACATAAATATCAATAATGTTTAAATTGATCTTATACATTTACAAGAAGGGGACAAACAACTCTAGAAAAATGGGCAAAGAAAATGAATAGGCAGGTCCAAAAATTATAAAAGCATATATTTTGGCTCAGCAGTCTCACTTCTGGAAATTTACCCTACAGATATATTTAACTTATGTGCAATGTTATTATTGCAGCATTACTTACAATAGAAAAAGACCGTGAACCCTGAAAATTTGAGACAGGTCTCAGTTAATTAATTAATTAACTAATTAATTAATTATTTTGAGACAAAGTTTTGCTCTTGTCGCCCAGGCTGGAGTGCAATGGCAGGATCTTGGCTCACCCCAATCTCTGCCTCCCAGGTTCAAATGATTGTCCTGCCTCAGCCTCCTGAATAGCTGGGATTACAGGCACCTGCCACCACACCTAACTAAATTTTTTGTAATTTTATTAGAGACGGGGTTTCACCATGTTGGTCAAACTGGTCTCAAACTCCTGACCTCAAGTGATCTGCCTGCTTCAGCCTTCCAAAGTGCTGAGATTACAGGCCCAACAGTCGCAGTTAATTTAGAAAGCTTATTTTACCAGCCGGGCGCCGTGGCTCAAGCCTGTAATCCCAGCACTTTGGGAGGCCACGGCGGGTGGATCACGAGGTCAAGAGATCAAGACCATCCTGGTCAACATGGTGAAACCCCGTCTCTACTAAAAATACAAAAAAAAAAAAAAAATTAGGTGGGCATGGTGGCGCATGTCTGTAATCCCAGCTACTCAGGAGGCTGAGGCAGGAGAATTGCCTGAACCCAGGAGGCGGAAGTTGTGGTGAGCCGAGATCGCGCTATTGCACTCCAGCCTGGGTAACAAGAGCAAAACTCCGTCTCAAAAAAAAAAAAAAAAAAGAAAGCTTATTTTACCAAGGCTGAGGACGAACCTGTGACACAGCCTCAGGAAGTTCTGATTACATGTGCCCAAGGTGGTTGAGGCATAGCTTGGTTTTATACATTTTAGGGAGATATGAAACATAAATCAACATATGTAAGAAGTATATTAGTTCTGTCCAGAAAAGTAGAGACAACTCAAAGCAAGGCCCCCCAACTGGGGGCTTCCAGGTCATAGGAAGGTGAGAGACACATGGTCGCATTCTTTTGAGTTTCTCCTAAGTCTTTCCAAAGGAGGCAAATTTGCCCTGAGCGATTCCCAGCTTGAACAGGCCCAAGATATTTTCCTTTCACAAGACTAAACCTGAGTATGCATCAATATAGGACTGACTAAATGAACTCTATTTTACCTCCATACAGTTGATAACCTGTTCACAGATTTATTGGCTACTTGATTATTCTTTTTATGAAATATCCGTTCAAATCTTTTTTTTTTTTCTTTTGAGAGAGTATCTTGCTTTTTCACCCAGGCTGGAGTGTAATGGTGCAATCTCAGCTTACTGCAACCTCCACCTCCCAGGTTCAAGCAACAATCTCGCCTCAGTCTCTCAAGTAGCTGGGATTACAGGCATCCACCATGATACACAGCTAATTTTTTGTATTTTTAGTAGAGACAGGGTTTCACCATGTTGGCCAGGCTGGTCTCGACCTCCTGACCTCAGGTGATCTGCCCATCTCTGCCTCCCAAAATGTTAGAATTACAGATGTGAGCCACTGCTTCCGGGTTCAAATCTTTTGAATATTTTTCCATTTACTTATTAATCTTTTTGTTATTGATTTCTGCAGTTATATAGTCTGGACACAAATTCTTTGACAGATATATGTAATACAAATATTTTCTCCCCCTCTGTAAATTGTCTTTTTTTAAAGCTATAGCTTTAAAATAGTATTGCACTTTAATATTGAAGTCTTAGATTGGGTAGTACAATCCTCCACCATTATTCTTCTTTAAGATTGACTTTGCTATTGTGATAACCTGCTTTTTTTGCCAGCTAAAACTGACTCTCTTTCTCAGACTAAAAGCTGTTCAGGCTTTATGTTAGCTTCTTGAGCTGGACAGACTCCATCTTAGCTTCTTCATTTTAGTTATTAAAATACCATTAAGTATGTAACTGTAGTATGTAGCTGGGGCAGGCTGACACTGCGCACCTCCAGGAATGCATTTGTTGATAAGAGGCTGAGTTAACTGGTACCAGCAGAGCCTGGAAAGGCAGGTGCTGTCGAGTGCCCAGAGCCCCCATTATCTATACATTGTATGTCTTTCATGACAGCTTTACCCCCTTGCACCTGGAACTGTTTTATTTCTCATGTGCTAGTTTATCTTTTAACTTTTGCTTACTCTGCTTCTGTGAAAAATTCGCTTTAGCTAGGTTCCTTCTCCCTTTTAAAATTAGGGTATAAAAGATCACCTAACTTTTTCTGAGGGGCCGAGAGAATTTTGGGCGTTAGCCACCTCTCGGTCACCAGCATAATAAAGGACTCATAATTCAATCTCAGAGTGTGGCGCATTCCTTGACTTGGTCAGGTACAGCACTATCCTTGGCTCTTTGCACTTCCATGTTGACTTTTAAAAACCAACTTGTCATTTTCTATACTCACAAAACCTGCTGGGATTTTGTTTTAAAACTGTAGATGGTTTGAGAAATATCGACATCTTTACAACATGAGCCTTCCAAATCATGAGCATGGTATGTTTCCACATATTTAGATCTTTAATTTCTTTCAGTAAAATTTTTTATTTTTTAGTATTGAGGTCTAGAAGATCTTTTGTTAGATTTATTCCTGAATCTATTTATATAAATAAATACATACATTTATTCTTTAAATTTCCCTTCTCTAAATCTTTGTGACTGATGTTTGATACAATTTATTTTTGTGTATTTTATATTTAGAAACCTTGTTAAACATATGTTCCCTTTTAATTTCATATTTTCCTCTTCTGACTATATTAGATTCTATTAACTTAGAGTGATGGTTTACTTTTATGTATATATAACTGTAAAACTTTGTCATATGTCATAATGTTATCTGATGTAATCACTAAGGACACAAATATTCTTTACTCATCACTGATATTTAGATTCTTTAGCTTTTATTGTTGTTTGTCTCTAATAGTTAGTGCTCATTTCTCTTTCATCTTTCTCTTTTTCCTTCTATTTGATGATAGCAAAATAATAGGATATAAGAGCCATCTTAATATTATATAAATGCCTTGGGAGCATTTGGTTCCAGCCTTTGCTTTGTCCCTTCTGAGTTCTGAAATATTCTTCTGGCTAGAATAGGAGAGAATTTAAAACCAGTGTTTCCCAAATTCCTAGCATAAGAATTACTAGAAGTGCTTTGAAAACAAAGGTTTTTAGATCCCTACGGAGATCTACTGAATCAGAATTTCCAAGGGAAAATGATGCTTATCCTCAGAGAAGCTTCATTTACATAAGACAAGATTAAGATTCCTTCCACCTCTGATATTTGATTCTGTGAATACTATCATTATATTACCATAATTAAAAGAAGAATTTTATCTAAACAAAGGAGTGTCAGAAAACCACTGCCAATACTCCAAAGTTTGGTATTTGGGATACCTATGAGCACAAATAAATTGGTACATTGCATACAGGTGCTATTCTATCTACTCTGCCAGATCAAGGAAAGCCACGGACATAAGTGGATCTTCAAGGCATCTGTGCCTCTGCTAGTTAACTTGACTAGTAACTTCTGACCATTTATTTTTGCATCCAAAGTCACTAACCAAACCAGGTTAGATTCCTGAAAGAATCTAACTACACTTAATCATTAATGCCACAGTCAGAAATGAAGCTGGACTCTCTTTGGGTAAAGGTTGGTGGGAGACAGTAGAAATGAGGAGTGTAATAGAAACTAAGAAGATATGGTCAAAGTCTGAGTTAAAGTTTAAAGAGGAAAAGATAGAGTTTATCCTGGTCCTATTTGTCAATAAATTATTCAAATAGTTAATGTAAAAATTTTGTGAGGGATAGAGTTATAGGTTTTCTCTCTTGTATTTTCAAATAAAGCAATTCATTCTGATGTTGCTTGACCTTGTTAATTTAGTCTTCATTTTTCTCATTTCTTTTATAGCTCTCTAGCCTTTCTTTTTTTCTTTTCTTTTGACAAACAACTAGAGGGGCACCATGCTCTTTTGTTGCTCTTTTACTTCTTTGACTTCATAAAATAACACAGCATAAAATGCACATAGCATTATCATGTTTGTTCTTGTTCCTCTTCTGATAAGGACTAAATATATATTCTAGAGTCATTAGGGAATTTACTCACTGAAAATTAAGAAAAATGGTGTTCACAACAGTATCTAGAAAGCAACTGGTTCACAATTGTTGCTCAAATTAAATTTTATTTCTTAAATGAAAGAATAGATTGATTAATCTTGAAGTGAGAAAATGAAAATAAAAGGAATAACTTTTGCAAAGAAGAAAAATGGTCCCTAAATGTGTATCACCAATCCTTTTCTCTCATTTTCTTTAGCTCCACCTCTTTAATTGCTTATAGGCTATTTCTAGCTGAACTTTTAAGATGTTGAAAACAAAACAAATATCACCATCTTTCTTACTTTTCTTTTCTCTTTTTTTGGGATAAGTCTTGCGTTGTCACCCAGGATGGAGTGCAACGGTGGGGTCTTGGCTCACTGCAACCTCTGCCTCCCGGGTTCAAGCAACTCTGCTGTCTCAGCCTCCTGAGTAGCTGGGACTACAGGCACGTGCCACCACACCTGGCTAAGTTTTGTGCTTTTAGTAGAGACGGGGTTTCACTATGTTGGCTACACTGATCTTGAACTCCTGACCTTGTGATCTGTCCCCCTCAGCCTTCCAAAGTGTTGGGATTACAGGCGTGAACCACTGCACCCAGTCTAAAGTCACCATCTTTCTTATCTCCCAAATTCAGTTTCTGATGACTTTCCTTCTCCAATGCATTTAAATCCTCTGTATTCCTACATTCCATTTATGTAATTTTCATAACTGAATAATGGCCCAAGTCATTACTAATACTAACTCCATTTTCCCCAGCTGTCATGGCATAGTGAAAATTCCAGATCTGCCACTTATTGGACAGGTAGCTTTGAGCAAATTTTTTAGCTCTGGGAACATTAATTTCTTTAAAATGGAAATACTAATATTAATTAGAATAAACATATGTTATATATACATACAACATATATGTAATTCATATGTTCAATAAATTACAGTTATTCTTAGCCTGAAATCAGTTTTTCTTTTCTTTTTTTTTTATTTTGAGACAGACTTTCACTCTGTCACCCAGGCTGGAGTGCAGTGGCAAGATCATGGCTCACTGCAACCTCTGCCTCCCGGGTTGAAGCAATTCTTCTACCTCGGCCTCCCACGTAGTTGGGAATATAGGTGCATGCCACCATGCTCAGCTAATTTTTTATATTTTTAGTAGAGATTCACCATGTTATCCAGGATGATCTCAATGTCCTGACCTCGTGATCTGCCCACCTCAGCCTCCCAAAGTGCTGAGATTACAGGCTTGAGCCACCACACCCTGCTAAATTCAATCTGTGCTTGAAGTGTTGTGTTCTTAACTATCTTGAACTCCTTTGCAAAGATAATCTTTCTTAAGCGTAGATTTCTAACCAGTTCTCTAACATTGTTTCATTCTATCTTTGGCATGTTTTCACTTTGCTATGCTGTATGTTTTACACATTCTTTTGAACTATAGCTTCCTGCTTTGCTCTGGATCAGGAAGCTATTGAAGCTGACACCCACAGAGTTAAACTCAGTTGCTGAAGCCACCAGCTTCAGTCCCCCTCCCAGTCCCCCTTTTCAGAGTAGGCTGGCAGCTGTCCTAACTGCCTACTGAAGCCAAATGCTTGAGGAGAGAGAGAGAGTAAGGAGCCAGTCATGAATACCTTCCAGAAAAATGAGTCCAAGGAAACTCTTTTTTCACCTGTCTCCATTGAAGAGGTACCACGTCGACCTCCCAGCCCTCCAAAGAAGCCATCCACGGT